TTATCTGTTGTCCAATTTTGTTATTATCTGTTAATTTTGTAAAAGCCGTTTGGCGTTGATTATAATATAATAATAATAATATTGAGCATTGAGCACATTATAAAACAAAAAATTAACTTAAATATGTTATAAATACATTTATTTTACTTCTGGAAATGCACAGAAAAATTATGTAGAGTTCTATGCTATTACAATATTTATTTTGTACTACTTTTATTTTTGTATATTTAGATAAAAATAAAACTTAATTCAGGTGTGAATTATTTTTGTATTGGATTAGAATTAAATATAATATCCTTTGTGGAAATGAAAGCAGTCATTGAAAATAATCTAAAGTTAGTTTTGAATTTTATTTAAGAATTATTAGTTATAACATATGTCAATTAAATTGAGTGTTGGTATAAAAGTGTCATATAAATGTTTTTGTTAGTCAATATAAAACTATTAATAATCATATTTTATTGAAATATAACACGAAAATANATATTGAGCATTGAGCACATTATAAAACAAAAAATTAACTTAAATATGTTATAAATACATTTACTTTACTTCTGGAAATGCACAGAAAAATTATGTAGAGTTCTATGCTATTACAATATTTATTTTGTACTACTTTTATTTTTGTATATTTAGATAAAAATAAAACTTAATTCAGGTGTGAATTATTTTTGTATTGGATTAGAATTAAATATAATATCCTTTGTGGAAATGAAAGCAGTCATTGAAAATAATCTAAAGTTAGTTTTGAATTTTATTTAAGAATTATTAGTTATAACATATGTCAATTAAATTGAGTGTTGGTATAAAAGTGTCATATAAATGTTTTTGTTAGTCAATATAAAACTATTAATAATCATATTTTATTGAAATATAACACGAAAATATTATTTTAAAAATGAGCAAGTAAATTCGTTGACTTTGGAAAGTAAATAATAGTTATTTAAAAATACTATCCCTTAAAGATGATTAAATCATAAGATGTTCTCGTTCGAATAATTTCTTAAATTTATCAATAACTTCAAATTTAGAATTAAGTGATTTTGTATAAAACTGATAATGGATCAAACTTTGTATCAATGGCATTTGTATCAATTTTTGATAATCTGAAAAATTTAGATTAGAAATATGATAATGATATGATTAAAAGTATTTTTAGCCTATACATAGAATATATGCAAGTTATTTTTTAATTTAATTGCAACCTCAAATATTGAAACATTTTTTAATAGCCTAAATTATTCAAGTTTTAAAATCTAATAAAAATCAACTCATTTAAATTCATAAAATATTTTAGTTTAGGGATTTTTGAACTTATCACAAAAGATATAAAATTAAAAATTGAGTATTAAAAAAATGACCGAACACCTTTCATTAATTAGATGACTCATATTTCAATTTTCTTCAAAATTAATCTATGAAATTGAAGATGAGTATTATAGAAATATGATCTACCAATAAATATTAAAAATCTTTACTACCCTAACATCTTAAATTCTCAACTATTTATGCATAAATGTATTAGTAGAATTTTTATTGATGATTTCATCAAAGAGTTGGGTTGGGTTACCTATAAATTTTTTTTGTGCTATAAAATTAATTATAAACTACTAATTGTAATAATATAGTATTAGGTTTTCTTTATCTTGAATAAATAAACAAAACTGAAATATTATATTGAATATAAAATATTAGTTTAATTTCATCATCAGACTCGTAATAAGTATTGTCGTTACTTCCATTTACAGATTTTTAACTGTGTCTCATTCCAATAAGGGATCAAAATGCTGTCATCATGAGAATTATTATCTTTATAAGTTATAGTATATACTTAAGTATTACCATAGTGTTATACACTATAGTATTACTTATTACTTAAAAATTAGTTAAGTTAAAAACAAACAATTAAGATTAAAATCGAATATTAAATTTCATTTAAAAAATCATCTAAATTGTTAAGATCACTTCAAAAATAGTAATTGTACATAAAAAACTTATAAAACTCTGAATTTATTTAAATATTAATATCAATACAAATTAAAAGTATGTTAATTAAAATGTTTTTAAATAAACTTTTTTAATACACATTTAATTAAACCCATTGTTTATTATCGTGATATGTAACGGCGTGTCAGCTATGCAATTTAGCTACATGAATGTCTTAATTTTAATAATGTGTCAATTATTTCTAATAAACTGTAAAAATTTTTTAGACTCAATGAATAAATACTAAAAGACTTTTAAATAAAACTGGCACAATGATATTTTACATTAACTAGATCATAGTTAATACTAAACCATTTTAGTCAGAATTAATGGAATTTTTTAATCCTAAAATAATTTTAACAAATCTTGACATTTTTCCTTCTTTGGGCAAGGAAGACTATGAACCTATTATTAACATGTCTACAAATTCAGTTTAATACAAGATTTTAATGAAAAGTACATTTTGTCTGTCAGAGTAGGACAACAAAAAATATTGTTCTTTTTTAACTTTGATCCAAACTTGTAAATAATTTCAACATAATTAAAACTTTAGAATAGTATAAAAAATTTATTTTTTTTTCTAATGTTGAAATCAAATGTAATTAATCAGTTTTAATATGACAAAATTTCATATTTAAGTAGCTAAGTTAAAAAATCAAAATACAGCTAATGATGGAACTGATTAAATTTTAGTAAAATTGAAGACTAAAACCCAACCAGAGTCTTAAAAAATAAATGTTTTTAATGATTTGTACAATGATAACTACTATACTATTTAATTGTTTACTATTACTATATTAATTATGAGTTAATTAAAAAATTAATAGTTTTAACTGCGATGTGAAGTATTATATATACTATAATGTGTTTAATATAATTATTTTGTCTGTTACCATTCAATCTCATCTCTCGCTGGACCGATTTTGATTACAAATAATTTTTAATTTTCAAATATTTAAGTGGCTTATAATAAAAGAATTCAACGAATTAACTCTCCATGACAATCATGACTTTATCATATATAAACGTTGTCTATGTTGACATTGGGATCACTTCGTGTTTGCTCGTCAAATAAGCTATCATATCGTGTAAGTATTCAGAGTTATTTAACTAATTATAATATGGCAAGCGAAAATAATACGGATAGTCATATTTATGAAACAAATATGAATGTTGTGAAACGCAGAATTGAAGAATTCTGGAATCGTCGTTTCATGAGTTCCAATTTAGTCGTTGATAGTCCAGAAGATCCCAAAACATCAAAACAGTCTAAAGGTGAAATTAATAACTGTAGACACTATTAAGATTAATTAACTAATTATCAAGAGACGTGAAAACGATTAGATATAAAATATAACAAGAAATTAAAAATATTATTCTCTTTTTGCTAAATAATAATTACTTTTTTATTGTACTATAATCTAGATAAAAATTGTTTTATATTATTTACTATTTCAGTATATTATAAACATTAGAGTAGATATAATATCTACGTCAATGCATTTTTTCACAATAAACATTTTCAAAATTAACTGTTTAATTAATAACTTTTAAAATAATATTCTCTTAACAGCAAATTCTAGTGGAAATATTAACACTGAAACAAATACAGTTAAACCAAAAAAACGAACCTATCGTAAACAGCTTGAAAGCGATGAAATTATTGCAGAGAAAGTGGTAATTAAAATTGTATAGATATATCGACCCTTACACTTTAGTAGAAATAATTTAATGTTTGTTATTATTTAGAGCAGCTGTCTAAATGTATTATTTTTCGAAATATTAGTAAAAGATTGTAAATAATTTCAATTTTAACATCTTAATCTTTATTATTTCCAATAAGATTTTTAAAGAAAAGAGACTTTTTATGGAAGATTATAATAACATATTAATTATATTCCAATTATTCATTTTAATTTGACATTGGTTACGCCTAGAAATTGATACAGCGAGGAGATATTGGAACACTTATTAGGAATCAAAAATCTGGAAAATATGGAGAGAAACTATCAGTTCCAGCCAAAAACAGTTATATACCAATTGTAAATGACAAAGCACCAAAAATACCAGCATATTTATTAGGAAGAGTAAATTTTATTCTGCATTGTTTTATATTCAAAAATTATATAAGTAGCCTAAACATATCTTTTAACTTAACGTAGATTTTTTAAATAAATTAACTAAAAATTATCCTATAATTTAATATGTTCTTATGATTCGTTAAGAGTTTTCATAAGAATCATTTGCATCGCAACAAATGCGATGAAAAAAAGCAACCCATAGAAGTATCTTCCAATGATAATGGTGGCCCTAATATAGAAAGTAATTTATCCGAAGAACATGATGAAGTCATTAAAAGTACATAAAAAAATTTAAACTACATTTCGATTATTGAAACAATTATTTTATACTTTAAACTCTTAATACTTAAAGAATTAGAAGCTAATAATGAACCTTTAAATGACGTTACAATACCTGAAGTGTCTACTGATAAAGTAATAGAAACACTAGAAGAGAAAATAATTAATTTAGAACCCGCAAAATATGAAGTAAAAGAGCAACTCCTAGAGATATCCTCTTCTGAAAGTTTAAATTTAAAAAGAAAGTCATCCGATAAAGATGAGAAAATCATAAAAAGTACACAATAATTTTTTTTATAAATATTAACTTGCATATTATGTTTATTGAAATTATTTTCTTATATTTTAAAACATAAATTTTAGAGGCAAAATTTAGTTCTGAACTTTTACATGCGACAACGTCAAATGACGTTATATTACCAGAAGTGTCTACTGATAAATTAAAAGAAACTCCAAAAGAACAAATAATTCATTTAGAACCCACAAAATATGGAGCAAAAGAGCAACTATAAGAGTTATCATCTTTTGAAAGCACAAATTTAAAGAGAAAATCATCCGAAAAAGATGAGAAAATCATAAAAAGTAGACAATAATTCTATTTTAAAAATTTGACCTTTCATTAGTTTATTGTAACATTTAAGCACTATTTTTATACATTAATTTTTTAGAGTTGGGTTTCACGAGAAAATTTAAATTTTTACCACCATCCCTTTTGCTTAAAAATAGTGTCAACTTCATATTTTCAAATGGCAACCCTATTTTTTTTTTATACCATTAGATTAAGTTTAATAAAAAAAAAATGTTTTGTAAAAAAATATTTTATTTTATTAAATATTAAGCGCTCCGCGGCTCTCTAAAGTTTAGGGTTTATTAAGAAAAAATCATTAAAGACGAGAACGTTATGGGTCGTAAATCGATAAGCGCTACCAGTTTTTAGTAATTCGATATCTGTAGAAAAAGCATAGGTATACTTCTATGTTGGTTGTTGAAAAAAAACCTATATGACGTAATGAGAATTGTTTGATTTTTATCAGTTAACAAGTTGTTACAAACTTATGCAAACAATGAATGACTATATTAGATCGTCGCTTGTAAACAATGATCTGTCACATGGTTGTGTACACAGTTTGAAAAGTGTGTTTAATTGAAAAGTTATGTATTATTCATAATTAGAAATTACTGCGTTGACAATTAATAAGTTCTATTTAAATTTATTCATAAGATGCTTACATATTTATTTGTATACATATCAATGAAACAATTCATTATGGAATTTTATATTCGATTAGAAGAACATATTTCTATTTCTCATTTAATTTAAGGTAAGCATTTATTTATAGTCATATTTCAAGCACTGAATTAAAAATAATCTTATTTTAATAAATAATTAATTTTATTTCCAGGATATGTATATAAAGTATTATGAAATCTTAACAGCCTTAGATCATAAAAATACATCAGATTTTTAGTGCTTGTGTGATGGAGACTATTAATTATTTTATATTGGTATTTATTGACACATGTTATTATTAACCAGAAAAAGCTTTAGTTCAGTTGTCTTATTATGAAAATAGATTATTCCAACATGTTCAATATATATTTGTTGCTAATAAAAATTAAAAATTGCCTATCAAAGACTTAGCACGGTTTAACCTCAATTATTATTTTTAAATGAGACTGGGGTACATCAGAACTAATTAACATTTGGATATGAAATTTATAATAATAAATGATTTATTAATTATTAATAAAGTATCTATGAAAATCTAGGTAATTATTAATACTTATACACCAAAAAATGAATTATACATCAATTTACTTCTCTTTTTATTTTTTCAGATTTTAATAAGATCATTAAAAAAAATTTTCAGCAGAAATTAGTTGTTATAAAGCAATAATTAAAAATCTTTTGACTTAAAAGAAAATTGAAGTATAGATATATTAATTAGTATTAAAAAAAATTACTGTATTTTTTTTCTATTAATTATTTTATTAGAATATATAATATTTCTAATTTAAATGAAAAAGACATAAATTAATTTTTATTGATGGGGTCTCAAACTAATTTTTTGGTAGAAGTAAGTATACAAAATCACTACCTTTTCTTTTTATTAAAAAAACTGATCAAATTTTAATCTTAGGTCAGGGCCGTATACATGGTACAGTAATAGGATCTGAGTTACTAGTATGTCAATTATTTTAAGAGAAGTGTTAATTTTGAAATTTCCTTAATAAAAGAAAGAAAATTATTAATTTCAAATNATCTAAAGAGAATTATAAAAATATTTCAAATAGTAATAATTTTCTTAACATCAATGTACTTTTTACTAACAAGTTGATCCAATTAATTTGATAATAACCATTAATTTGCATAAAGACCATGATACTATCATTTTTTACCGCTTGATTAAACTCTATAACATTCTTGATGTGACTGGGATACTGCATTGAAGTTTGTTTCTCACAAGAACTCCATATTTACATGGAATCATTGGTACTCCAACTTTGAAATCAGCAATAATGTATTTACTATAAATTCAATAAAAAATATATTAAGCAAATATTAAAAACATAAAAACATATGTAAAGTTTTTAATAAGACTGCAATTATTTTTACCATATTAAAATTGGTGGAATAAAAATACCATTGAGTTAAACAATGATTTTTAGTAAAGAAATATCTCGAAATGTACNTTGTCATCTTGTGGCGTTCCTAAGTGATGAGAGTTCATTGAATGATTAATAAGTAAGGAGACATGGAGGAAATTAAAATGAAAATTTATATCATTATGTTCTATAATTAATCTATATTGTTGAAAAGCTGGGCACTAGTTAAAAATTTAAACTTAAGTTAACTTATCTTACTAGTTTTAATACTCAATAACTTATTCACTTAACTAATGAACTGAATGTGTAGAATAAATCGTTAAAAATTAAAGCAACTAGTTGCAATGTGTTAATAACTAATATTGAGTATTTTATATTCATAAAATTTTTGATATACCAATTTTTTATGATGGTGTTAATGGAGGATTTAACTGTTTACTTATATAATTAATATTTTTGCAACATTTGATTATTTTAGAGCCGTGGAAAGGCCTCTCATGCACGAGATGAGTATTAACATAATTAACATAATCACTCGACAGAAGATAATATTGTAAAGTTAATGTTTTAACCTTTTTGTTTCATTAATATAATATTAAAATTAAAATGTCTATCCTAAATTTACCCGGCACTCTGTCTGTAACCATTTTTTACTTGGTACTTGATTAGTGAATGTATTTACTACACGGAACTTCTCTAGTATTAAATGTATGATCCATACATATATTTTTTCTTTATTTTAAACAGTTAGGTCAGTACACATTTTGCAAATCACATCTCTTTTACGCAAGATTTTCATCAAAATAGAAATAAGTGTTTCTGTTGATGCTGATTCAGCCAATACTTATAATAATTCTAATATAAAAGTTTTTAAATTTATATTTTAAACTATGAAAAAAAACTAACTTCTAATTTTTACTCTAATTTAAGTTACTATTTTCAACTTCTAGCTAAGTAAGTTAAAAATTTGGAAAATTTCAGAAATTAAATTCTATTCTAACTTAGTTTTCATTTTAAAGTTATTTAACTTAAACTAGTTTTAAAAGTTACTAACTTGCCCGGCTTTGATTTTTGATTAGGTTTTAATCAATTAGTGTAACTTTAGAATAATTCAATTTTTTTAAATTTATTTGTGTATAAAACAAAAAGTTTTAAATTTATTAATAAGGTAGTAATTTTACCCTAAAAAATTATTATAAAAATATAATTTGGGATTTATTGTATTATGTTTCTTTACATTAAACATTATAATGGACTATTTAGCTCAAAATTCTCTATCTTCCTCTATTAACAATCATGGTTATTTTAATGATAGTTAAACAACAATGATGATAAAATCAAGTTATCCTTTTTTAATTATAACAATTTTTTTTTACCATTTAGTTGCTAAGTGAATCTTATACATTAATTATTATTTTAAACATATTAAATTATTTTATTTACTTAGTAAAAGACCTATATTATATTCCTAGTATGAGTACATGTACTTTTAAAAATGTCTTATTTTTTTTTTTTAATATTTGTCCAAAACTAAGAAAAAAGAACTACTGTAAAATTCTTATTAATTTTTTGTTTAGTAAACATTATAAGTTTATATATTTTATATAAAAAATAATATTTAATAAAAAATTTACATTAATTCATTAAATTTGTTTTTTATTGAAAATTTTAAAATAAATTAGCTATATTTAACTATTAAAAAATAAATCTATTGTATAAATTTTCATAAAATAACCATTCTTTTTTTTACTATCGTAAATCCTCTTACATATTTTATTTACATATTGTCATGATAATTATTTTCTATGTTTTTATACACGGCAATGGGAAAAAATCAATTCAATGTAAAAGCAAATGTTCTTTTTTGTTTATGTTTCAAGTATTTTCATGGCTAACGTAGTAATAAATTTTTTTCTAATTGATAGTTTAATAAGACCTTAATTTAATTTTTCATTTATTTTTTATTCGTTTGAAGTATATAGGTTAACAGTATGAATATTATTTATACTTTTAGTATATGAAAGTGTTTAAATAAATAATTATGAACATATTTCTGGGTTTTCTTTTTATCCTAATATTATTAGTAAAAATATTGCTTGGTAATACTTCCATGACATCTATTTATACATACAATATGATAAGCACTTTAATAGCCATATCTAAAAAATCCGTCATGTTCATTATTCACATGAAAATGGATAATTTTGATCTTTATAATATTGGCCAAAGTTATTGAACATTGTTGTTAAAAAAAAGTAATTTTTTTCTTTTTAATGTATTATTATTTTTAATCTATATTATGAATACAATGATTTACTTAATTTCAAATAAATCATCATTTGACTGCTTTTTTTTGTCAATGTATTTGTTTGAACCTTCGGAACTTATGCTCAGTATTCCTGTAATGTTTAATTAAGTAAGTTTATTAATTGTTAAAAAATTTTTTTTTACATATTATGTACTTTTGTTTTTTTGATTATTTTTATCAAAATTAGTTGGCCAATCTTTAGGCGATACATATATATTTTTTGTAGATTTTTCACGGTCTGTTGTGCAGCATCTAATCTAAATTATTTTTAAATTGAAAAAATATGATTATTTATAAGTAAGTCAATATAGTATTTTATTTTTTGAGCAAGAAAACATACTTTAAGATTATAATAGTTTTAAACTAAAGTATTTTGTTTCATAATTCATTAAATAAATTGAAGTTATAATTTTCATATTATTTTCATAATTTTCATAATTTTAATTTGTATTTCATAATAATTATGTATTTAAAAATTATTAGGCAAAATATAGAATATTATAATTACTACTTCAATTAAATGTGTTAATTATTTATGGACGCTTAAGTTAATAGTTAAACAAATTAATTCAAGTTCATTTTGTTAAAGAAGTCTATAATCTTAAAAAATTGTTTTATGCTTTTTAAAAAATGTTATTAAAAAATATATCTCCATTTTTAGTTCAATAAGCATATCTTGCTTTGGCCCTTCGAATAACTACTCTGTCTTCCTCATCTTTAGGTGCATATATTGCCACTAATGTTGTAAAGCTTGAGTGTTGTGGGCACCACCACTCTGTGCAAATTATCTAGATAAATGAAATGAAAATGAGCATTGAGTATGTAAACTTAGTTTTTTTAAAAACAAATAAAATTATAGTATACTTTTTATACACAAACAACAAATAGTTATTTATAATAATTTTATATTATAAGTATTATTTGAGATATGTTTTAAAGGTAAAACGCTTGTTTTTTAAGAAACTATTAAATATTTGGTTCAAAAACTACACTTATCTGTAAATGAATGAATTTTTACTTTGTGTAAAATATTAAACTTGAATTTTCTTAAATAATAACTCCTATTTTTAATTCAATAATTTATTGGAAAAAACAAACAATTTCGATTTTATAATTTTTTTTTATCTGTGTTCATGTATTACAGCTTTGTTGAATGATGAAATATTCAATGATTTTTGATCAATTATTAATATAATATTTATTATATTAAATATATATTATATAAAGAATTTTTAACCTCTGGCGGTATGAAAAAAGTTTTATTCAGTTACAGATAAAATTAGTGTTTGAACCCATGTACGCTGACGGTTATACGCCGCACTATTTACTCGCACACACACTCTTTCCAACCACACAATTATGTGTGTGAAATATACTTATAAGCATTCGAGTTATGTGTAACAAGATTAATGACCAATTGTAAATACTCTTTAAATAATATCAATTTATAGATTGGGGAGGTAATGAAAAAATTTAAAAACGTATGTCTTTTTGGAAAAACTATAGATTTATTTATAAATTTTAACATCGGTTTAATAAAAGAAGTATTACTATTACTTACAGCTTCATTTACACAAGCGCCCATTGTACATATAGTATAATCATATTCATTATTATCATTATGATACATTACTAAATTAAAATTAAAAATTTTTTTTGCTTAAATAATAAATTATATGCATCCGACAATATTTCGGATTTGAATTATTTAATATCGCTTCTAGCCATATCTAGCGCTATCGGATTTTTTACCGCATCTTCATTAGTAACATCTTCTTCGGACATTGTAAAATTTCTCGAATCATGCAAAATATTCGCCAATATCAAGAATGGTGAAACATTTCGCGATTTTAAATAATTTACAGTATGTTCCACATCGTTGTTGCTTAATGGAAGATGCATTTTTACGATTGGAAACCGATGAGCGCCTCCGTAAAAATTGATTTCAATATCTTCCTAAAAATTAAAAATTATTTTTTACAAACATAATTTTGGATAATATAGATATGTAAAATATAACTTACTTTAACTTAAATTTTTGAAGTCTTCTTTGAATTTTGAATTATAACACGGAATATTGTGAATTAATAATAGTGTTACGTTTACTGGTCGACAGAAATCAAAAATGTCATTTTACAATACGAGCGTCGCTAAATCATGTACAATGTATAAATGTATTTTCAATACTGGCCTGTTTGTATTAATATTTCCAGACACAAACAAATCGATTAAGCCCAATTTCACTTTTCGTTCGTTAATGTTAATTCACCGTAGTAATTAACATGAAAAATACACATCTTTCCCATAACGAGTCATTAATTCCATGAAAAATACGAATTATAAATAATGCTTAAAATTATTAATTAAATAAATCTGACACATTGTGTCAAACTCTGTCATTAATTTCAATACCGCTATATTTAGACATAAACAAATCTATTAAACCGAAATTTATTTCATTATATTTTACCATAGTAAAATTATTTCTAGTGAAAATAATTAACATCGTCATTTAATCTACAGAGTTTTTATTGACTAGATTATATATACATTAATGTGAAAATTATTCAACAAAATCTACAATAAAATTATTTTCTACATTTCCTTTGTATACAAGATTTAATTTTTGTCTTAAATGTGTGTGTGTGTGTGTGTGTGACTGACTCATAAACAACTTTAAAATGTCTTAAATGTGTGTGTGTGTGTATGTGTGATTAACTCATAAACAATTTGAGGGTGTCGTAAATATATGCGATTAACTCATTCATAAAGACACAGCGCTTTTATGTTAATGATAAATGTACTGCTATATAAAGTTGTCTTATAACGGTTTGAATCAGTATTCGGCGACCTCTTTTAAATATGTTTAGCTGTGATAAATGTGATAAAACTTTTTCTGTTAAAAGAAATTTTGTAAGACATCGAATAAAACACGATGGGATTAGATTTCCGTGTCATTTATGCAGTTCAACATTATCAGATAAAAACTCACTCGTGCGTTCAAAAAGTGCATCGTTAGTATAAAAATATTTATATATATATTTTTTTAAATTAACTATAGTTGATTAAATAAATTGTATGGTAATATAGATCTCACAAAATACGGAATTGATTATAATATAGCGATCGGGAATCATCCGGATTCGAGAACATTACAGTCGTGTGGTAAGTAAACAATAATAATAATAACGAGTGGGTAAATTCAGTAGTCTGTTCGTTGCAGGAAATGAGGGTGTACCGTCGTGTACGGGCGGAATGAAAAGAAATTATAATAATGATGTTACGGTTAGTAGTGTACGGATTAAACAGCGGCGATTAGATAAAATTTCATCATCGACTTTTCAGTTAATAGGCTCCTCGTTAAATAAAATCTTCTGGTTTTATAAAAAAAATGTGGAAAAAATTGACGGTTATAAATCATTTCTATTTCAAATAAAAAACGAATTAATAAATAAATTATACGAGTGTTTGGAAAACGTTGGTCGGATCAAATTCAATTTAAAATTGGAAGCCACTTACAATATACCGAATCAGTCTGACACGAACGAGAATCGATCTTTTAAAACTAGCGCCGTGGAATTATTTGCCAGTACTGATATCAGTACGATTGTCGATAACGCGTTTGAAAAATTAATTGATGAAGAGAAGAATTACGCGGGCAAGGGGAGCAATTTTTCGTTTTTATGTATAGACGGGATACTTCTAGGTGTTTATAAATATTCTCCATTGTCAGCAAACTCCTTTATTGAATTACCGAAAGATATTAAAAATAAGTGCACTGTTATAAATCCGCAAAATATTGATTCTTTTTGCTTTAAATGGGCGATATTGGCTAAAAAAATGAGAGGGAAAAATAATGCTAATTGTTGATATTATTAAACAACACACTGGGTACAGTAATATTATTTAAGATAACAGTTTAATGTAATTTTACTTATGTTAGTATAGTACAAGGTCAAAGGGACACATTCCTTTTATGATTATGTTGTTTTACTCAATGCAGTCTATTGTATACATGTTTACAGTTTAGTCGTAGTTTCGCCGTCTATAAGTAAAGTGACCCGTTGCCGTTGTACATCTCTTATATTATATGTTTTGATATTTCATATTAAATACTATTATATTACGAATAATTTCTAAATCTTTTAATTACATAACCTATTCCATTCAACACTAATATTGTCGGAAATAATTATAAATCATTAAATCACGATTATAATTTTTCCGGACTAACATTTCCCACACCTATTGACAAAATAAAAACGTTTGAAAAAAATAACGAAAATACATCGGTTAATGTGTACGGATTGGCTAGTAAAAAACGAAATGGCGATGAGGAGATAGACGGTATGTCGCATTTAGTTTATCGTATATAACAGATTTTGGGCGTTTAGTACAGAGCCAGATGACTAAAAATACATCCAAAATGGTGTTTTGCAAAAGATGTTTTTTGGGTTTCAATTTCATTCGTAAAAAATATAAACTTTTCGGGTTTGAATCATTAAAAGAACATAAAAAAATCTGCGGAGAAAATAAATAATTTTTACCCATAATGCCGGAGGAGGGAACTACATTACAATTTGAAGTATTTGAAAAAATGCAGGAACATCCTTTTTCAATTTACTGCGATTTTGAATCGCTATCTGAAAAAGTAGACAAAAAATGGGTGATAATACCCGCGCCATTCAAGAACATAAACCGATGAGCTATTGTTTTCTAATAAAAGCGGCTGACAGTGTGTCCGTAAAATTATTAAATCGCTTTGATATTAGCACAGAACCGAAAATATACAGAGGCAACAGCGGGTCGAATGATGTTGCCACTCGGTTTGTGAAAGAAGTGTGCGAAGAAGTGCTGAAAATCGAAGTACTGTTGAAAACAAATGTCGAAATCATCATGACAGATGAAGAAACGGCGATACACGCAATGAAAACAAATTGCGATTTATATAAAATCGAATTCAGTGATGAGAATTAGAAAGTGGCCGATCACAATCACTTGAACGGTAAATATAGACATACTTTATGTAATAATTGTAATCATCAATTAAAAACACCTACATTCGTACCGCGTTTTTTTCACGGGTTAAGCAACTACGACGCTCATTTTCTCGTGCGAGAATTAAGTTTTTCAAAAGGACGAATTTCTCTAATACCGTCTACCGAAGAAAAATATATAAGTTTTTCAAAATATGTTTCCAACACGTTCAGTGTCAAATTCATCGATAAGTATAGGTTCATGGGCATCAGTCTGGCCACACTTGTAAACAATTTACGTGCTGTCGGTAAACATCTATTCGAGGAAACGGCGAAAGTATTTTTGGCAGAGGAAATCGATTTGGTCACATGCAAAGGTGTGTACCCGTATTCCTTCACGAGTAATTACGATGTGCTGGAAACTACTGAATTGCCGTGTAAAAAAGACTTTTATAATGAATTGACCGAATCGCATATTAGCGATGAAGATTATGTACATGCGCAAACTGTATGGTTACATTTTAATTGTAAAAATTTGAGGGAATATTCGGATCTGTATTTGAAAACCGATGTCACTATACTAGCGGATGTATTTTCGAATTTCAAAATACTATGTTTGAAAAAGTATAGATTGAAACCGTCGTATTATTATACGAGTCCCGGTTTATCTTTCGACGCGATGTTGCTACACACAACTGTAAAATTAGAACTCATATACGACTACGAAAAACAAATTTTCATTTCAAGAGGAATAAGGGGAGGTATGACAAATTCTGTACTTAAATACGCTCAAGCAAATAATTTAAAAACGCCCAATTATGACGACGAATAGCCCAGGTCCGAAATTATTTATTTAGATGTAAACAATTTGTACGGTTGGAGTATGTCACAAAATCTTCCGTACGCAGGGTTCAGATGGATAGACGAGGACCAAGAAACCGTTTTGAAAAGACTGCAGGAGATGGACGGAGATTCGAACATCGGGCTTGCACTGGAAGTAACAGTATCGTATCCGGAAGGAAAGCATGACATGCATGATAAAATCCCTTTTCTACCCTAGAATAGAATACCCCCAAATTCTAAGCGAAAAAATTACTTTCAACTTTAGAAACTAAAGAACATCATGTCATNAATCGCTTTGATATTAGCACAGAACCGAAAATATACAGAGGCAACAGCGGCACTATTTGAATTTAAAGCAAGCGATGGAAAACGGTTTTAAAGTTGAAAAGGTGATATAAAAATTGAATATTTTTTTTTAAAATTATTTTACTATAATAACTGTAATAATCATAGGTGCACAAAGTTTTAGAATTTAAACAGTCCAGATGGCTTTCCAAGTACATCAAATTAAACACGGAAATGCGGCAGGCGGCTACTAACGATTTTGAAAAAAAATTTTTCAAATTAATGAATAATTCTTTTTTTGGTAAAAAGCATATTATTATAAATGTTTATAAATTATATTAATATCATATTTTATTATTAAGGTAAGTATATGGAACGCGTTGAATTCAGAAAAAAGATGGAACTCGTGTGCGATCCTAAACGTGCCGCTAAATTGATTAAAAAGCACACTTTCAACCATTGTGTCACGTACAAGGAAAATCTTTCAATATTCGTTTTGGACAATAAAATTATTCATTTTACAAAACCGGTGTACGCGGGATTCTGTATACTGGACATTTCAAAAACTTTGGTGTACGATTTTCATTTTAATTATATGAAAAAACATTTTAAAGATTGTATTATGCTGATGTACGGCGATACGGGTAATAAATGACGATGATTAAAAGTAAATTTATTATACATTAATTTATAATTTAGATTCTCTAGTGTACTATGTGTTGACCGAAAATTTTTATATAATTATCTTGTTTGAAAATAATAATGGCAAATCATTATAATGACTATTAATGTAAAAATAAATATTTAATCGTTGTTGTATAATGTTTACTTTATTTTTAAAATAATAATAACTACAGTAAACGTTAATGTTGTATTTCGCTAGTTAGTAATTTATACACTATTTACGACATNATGTTGTATTTCGCTAGTTAGTAATTTATACACTATTTACGACATTCGAACTTCACTACTAAATGGATTATATTGTATTATGCGGTCGTGTATGATTAAACAATATGCAGTGGTATTCTCGGGAAATTTGTTCGAAGACTCAAAATCGATTCTGAGATCTATAGTAGAAGTTTTTACATCGTCTTTTTGAGCAGTCTATACAAAAAACGGGGCCGTATTTCAAAAACTTCTTTATTGAATAACGGTTTAGATTTTCTTCTTTCGTAGTACGTCTGTTGAAAATTAACGTAAATTTGATAGAACAGAGTAATTAATTTTTTATTGAAATTCTCATTTAAGTTTTCATAGGGATACTCAGACGAATTTAAATGCACTTTTAGATTAACTAACTAAAAAAAAAATTGTTAAAAAAGTAGGTCAAGCGAGAGCTGAGAAAATAAATAATAGCTACAAAAAAAAAAAAAAACCACATAGTAAAATAATATTAATATGAATTTTTTCTCACGAGAGGAGACTACAGTGATGGGATCCTTGATATTTATTGAATTTATTGAATCTAAATGAGATAAAAATCAAATGAGTTAAACATTTTTTTTTAACTCAAAAAGAATAAAGAAAAAATTCAGTGCCACAGGCATGAAAGACTTAAGTGTTACCGTCTCAGAAACCGTACATCGTATTCGTCACTTAATTAAAATGGAAATTTAGCTAGTTCAAATTTTAAAGTTATTTTTCTCGACTTCAAAGAAACAAAAAAATTTAAATATGTTTACCTTTTTATACTATATCAATTAGATTGATATAATATTTATGAAAATCAGTGTAATCCCCTTATAATAAAATAAAATACAAAACCAAGAATTTTAACACAAAAATAGCATATTTTTGAATACGTTAGCTATTTCCACCATGAAGACAAAATAAAGTCAAATTTTTTTTTTAATATTAAAGTATATTACATAAGCTTTAATTTAAGATATATATAAAAGTGTCAGTATTTCCCCGGAACACTTTCAAAAATTAAGTTGAAAAAGTTTTACTTTCTATATGCAATTTTTATGTTTTGAACCCACCCGTGTATTAAGGAAAATGGTCCGATTTAAAAAAATAGTATGCCGAATGAAAGAAGTATATAAATATTATTTCTTATAAAAAAATTGTATTGATCCATACATTTTTCAAAAAATTATAGCGTTAAGAAGTTAAAAATGTAAAATATAAAATAGAGAATTTTCAAAAAAATAACATTTGGTAGCCATTTTCACCGTGAAGACAAAATAAAGTCCGAAATTTTATTAAATATTAAAGTACAGTAGCTTTAATTTAAGATATTGATAAAAGTGTCAGTATTTCCGGAACACTATCAAAAGTTAAGTTGATAAGTTAATTTTTTGTGAAAAAGTTGTCATTTTGAATTGGCAGGTAAAGGGTCAAATTTATAAAAAAAATACATCAAATGATAAGTAAAGACATTATGCATCTATCAAAAAAAAA